ACGTGGTCTGATGATGAATTTGAGCATGAAGTGGAGGAACGATCGAAGAAGGTATCTTAGTTTATTCATTCAAGTCTTACTTTCAAAACATTTTCCATTCCTTTTTGTTCCTTCTTTCCATTTACATGGAACTTGTCGAGTACGGAGCGCTTTGCTTTATCTTACTAGAAGGAACTGTCATTTTCTCAAATTTCTATCTTTTGTGACTAGCATTTTGGCCTCCTTTCGAAAACACCATGTAAAACTAATGGCAACTCAGTTCTGCACGGTCCCTATATTTTCGTAATCAGGATGCTTACTTACTCTCTGTGCCAATTCCCACCCGTAGGTCAAACTTTGCGAAAAGCAATGAAATATACTGAATACTGGCGAAAAGTACCTACGACACCCGGCCCACTGCGAAGTGTATGAGTGCAAAATATGTCCGGATCGCTTCAGAAATTTAAATTACTATTGGAAGTTATGTAAGACACAAACAGTCATTCAGTTGTAAATATAGGATTGTGAATTGCCTTGGCACTCGTTCTTTTAGGCCCGCAGGTTTTTTCGTACAAAATGCGATGAGTTGGCGAAAGATAATTTAGGCCATCAATTTTAAATCCAGCACCATATAAATCTTGCTTTTCGCCATAGAAGACTTTGCTGATTTCTTCGTTAAACTCTTTTTTCTTATAAAGCGATGACTTCAAGGGAAGATAACGGTTTATATTATCCTTCCTAACATGTCAGAAAATCATGGATTTTGCGCTGTACCAAAAGTTTCTTTTTGCAGGTCGCTTCGTCTGTTGTCGTGCAACGTCCACTTGCCGCTAGTCCGGAACCTGTGAAGGTATCGTCCCAAGTGCACGTTATGCGGAAGGTCAAGCCTGCCGTAAGGTTAGCCATCGCTTTTATTTTTGTTCTTACACATATTCTTCATTTTCTTGTACACACAGAATATGCTAGACCATTGAGGTTTTTTAAAGGGTAGTAGAATCAATTTCGACGCTTATCTACTTGTTTTTAGTGAAATGGAGAAGAAAACGATGAAAGCAGGGTCTTCGATGTTCCTCAAAGCTATGAATCAGGCTAGCGTTAGCGCTGGATATGGCGCCTCTCTTATGGACAAAAAGGTAGGGAA